AATTTTTTGGTCCTTAAATTAAACTGGTATACTTTTTTATTTATCACAGTTTTCTTTAACCAATTTTGGTCTTTAATGCAGGGCCGACAGACAAGTTCCTTACTTTCACAGTTGTTTACTGGGCTGAATCAAACCACAACGTGAGCGACTGCTTTGACACAGCTATGGCAGTGTCCAGAGATGCCCTCTCCTGCACTTTTCCTCATAATACCCTGATTCGCAAGGCAAAGGGTATTCATGCTGTATAGCTGTTGACAGATATACCATTAGGCCACCATCTCTAGACTCCCGAACAGTTCTCCCCACGCACGCCACTCATCAGACCTAATCCAGTCTGTCGTCTCATATTTGCCTTTGTGTTCCGAGTTTGAAACTGGGGTATGATCCAGGGTAGAGGGTTCACTGCTGAACAGAGGTCTGTTCTCAATGTACTGCACAGCACTTCTGAGCTGAGCCTAAAAGCCTGGGCTGAAGACACCACAGATGGATCTCCCTGTCTGAAAAGGGGGCTGTTACACAATTGAGGGCATTGAAGTCTGAAGTGTACAAAGAACGTATTCAAGCAGTGTGCCATTTTTCGGGCAGCATGTTCTGTTTAAAATCACATTTGCCATCTGGTGGCTGAGGGACATTGTTCTCGGCTGCATCAGTTTCTTACCTGAATAAGGCTGCATGGCGATCCCATTCAAATCGGTAGGAGACCAAGTTGACCTGAATTAATGTTGCTTTTAAACGGAACAATGCACCCCCATCAATGTATCGCAGTGGAACGGTCTAGAAAATGACTTGGCTAAAGGATTAATGTGTTGCTACTGTTATGACTGTACTGTTGTGTAATGATGTAATATTTTTGTGACTCTTGCACAAGCTTTACAGTTGGACACAGGAAGCAGATGATCTTTTCATCTCACCATCTATAGTTTGGGACATTGTCTCTTTTATGGTTCCACTAGTCTCAAATATTCCTGTTGAAACCAATGTAAAGAGTAAATAGACAAAAATAATAATAATCCTGACCAGGGTAGTGACCAAATTTCAAGTTCATGTCAAGCTTTAACTTTGTCTTCTCTCTTCTGACAATGTCATTTCCCATTCTTCATCTATATACTGACATGTATGCATTCATTGCCCCCGTGATACAATCCAATAATATAGATGCTCATACGCTGAAGTCATGATACACTATATATACACAAGTATGTGGACACCCATTAAAATGAGTGGATTCGTATATTTCAGACAAGTTGCTGACAGGTGTATAAAATCGAGGAGACAGCCATGAAATCTCCATATACAAACATTGGCAGTACCATGGCCTTCCTGAAGAGCTCAGTGACTTTCAACGTGGCACTGCCATAGGATGCCACCTTTCCAACAAGTCAGTTCGTCAAATTTCTGCCCTACTAGAGCTGCCCCGGTCAACTGTAAGTGCTGTTATTGTGAATTGGAAACGTCTAGGAGCAACAACGGCTCAGTTGCAAAGGGGTAGGCCACACATGCTTACAGAACGGGACCGCCGAGTGCTGAAGCGTGTAGCGCGTTAAAATCGTCTGTATTCGGTTGCAACACTCACTACCGAGTTCCAAACTGCCTCTGGAAGCAACATCAGCACAAGAACTGGTTGTCGGGAGCTTCATGAAATGGGTTTCCATGGCCGAGCAGCCGCACACAAGCCTAAATTCACCATGCGCAATGCCAAGCGTCGGCTGGTGTGGTGTAAAGCTCGCCGCCATTAGACTCTGGAGCAGTGGAAACGCGTTCTCTGGAGTGATGAATCACACTTAATCATCTGGTAGTCCGACGGACAAATCTGGGTTTGGCGGAGACCAGGAGAACGCTACCTGCCCCAATGCATAGTGCCAACTGTAAAGTTTGGTGGAGGAGGAACAATGGTCTGGGGCTGTTTTTCATGGTTCCGGCTAGGCTCGTTAGTTCCAGTGAAGGGAAATCTTAACGCTACAGCATACAATGACATTCTGTGCTTCCAACTTTGTGGCAACAGTTTGGGGAAGGCCCTTTCCTGTTTCAGCATGACAATGCCCCCATGCACAAAGCAAGGTCATACAGAAATGGTTTGTCGAGATCGGTGTGGAAGGACTTGACTGGCCTACACAGAGCCCTGACCTCAACCCCATCAAACACCTTTGGGATGAATTGGAACGCCGACTGCGAGCCAGGCCTAATCGCCCAACATCAGTGCTGACCTCAGTAATGCTCGTGGCTGAATGGAAGTAAGTCCACGCAGCAATGTTCCAACATCTATTGGAAAGCCTTCCCAGAAGAGTGGAAGCTGTTATAGCAGCCAAGGGGGGACCAACTCCATATTAATGCCCATGATTTTGGAATGAGATGTTCGACCGTGTCCACATACTTTTGGTCATGTAGTGTATGTCCTGAATAGTTTGTGTTGCGTCTGACGTGTTCTTTCAATGCAGTCAGTGCTGGCAGCAAAGTTCCTCTTGGGGTTAGAGAAGTGCCACCCCCTAACCTTCCTGGTTCCAGTAGTCCACTCTGCGTTGTTACCAGTTCACGTTAATCTGCCTGGCATTTGTATTGTGTCAGCGAGGTACCTTGCCAATCGCACCAAGTCACACCACACAGTGTGCAGGTTTATCTAGGTCACAGCTGACATGAAAGCATGCCGTGGGTACAGACTTTTTAATCACACTCGCACTAACCGATCCTTCAATGCCACCGTTTTAATAAACTGTTCCCAGACGTTTTAACAATGTTGTGCCCCCCCTCTTAGTTTTGATGTCGATGCATTTCTTGCATGGCCACAGATAGTAAAGTCTGCCATTTGGTCCTCAAAGAGAATACAGTGTCCTCAAAGCGTCTTTGACATTCTCCGGTGCAGTTTCCTCCTGTGGTGCATCTGTTTATGGTCAACTATATATTTTCTATCTCATTTTGATCAAAGTCACCAGTCCCTGAGGTTTTCTTTGACATTGTAGATTGTTCCCTGACTTCAGAAGCCCCCGTTTATACCTGCCGCTTACATGCGTCCTTATCTTGCTTTTTTCAAAATAAGTTCACAATGCGTCGGTCTACACCGGTCAAAGAATTTGGGCACAATCAAAATGAGGACAAGATCATGACAAAGGGTGCATGTTAGAACCAGGTATAAACGTGGCTAGAGACCCGACAAATACATTTGTACCTCGCGTCTCAGATCAATGAAAAATATTTAGATTTATATTTTCAGCAAATCACACATGAGTCTGTGACATCTGAAAAATGATCTGTTCCATAGCCCGATCAATGATTATGTGCCACTCGTAGGATCCTTTAGCTGTGTTGATGACGGATGTAGTTGGTTTAGTCCATTAAATCTAATCCTCAACAAATTCATACCCTTATCTTTCACTTTCAGACTCTGGACCAAAACATTACGCTAGGGGTTTAAGTATCAATTCATCCAGTTTTGTTTGGGAGCCGATGAGCGACAACCTGCTCAGCTTCCTAATGTTTGAGTAGACATGGGCGGCAGCGCCTTTCTGTTGACGCCGGAGTGCTTGTGAGCTCATTATCACTTCCTCCTGTTAAGCACTCCGCAGTGTTGGCCGACCTTGGCTCAGAGGCCCAACAGTGAGCAGCCTGGAGGGGTATCTGATTTCTGTTCCACCTGGCCCATTATTCCTGTGCCTGAGTCTCCTCAAATTTGACCAACCGAAACATAGTCCTGTAGGTATTGCAGAGGGTTTTGCAGGCTCCTTTTTCTTCTTCATGATATCGTGGCAAAATAACAAGTGAAGCACACTTCAAAACTGAGGCTTTGCAAACTTTGTGTACTCACTTGGACAACTTGTGGTATCACGTATGAGAATACTATAAACAGGAGGCTTGCTCTTTGCCTAAATGAATCACACTGGTGTATCGGGTTCTGTTGGTGGGCCCATGGCCAGTCAACCCGGGGGGGATTAGCTCTGTACTGTACCATTCACATCTCCAGCTAAACCTCCCGAGACACATTACATCTGCCAAGAGCAGAGGAGAGAATGCCAGGCCACTGCACTCGGTGCCCCATTACAGCTGTTACTCTCCTCTCTAAGCCTCTCATAACATACTTTAAAATAAGGTTGGTAGATGGTATACTGACATCTCAAAATGATTTTAGTTAAAAATGGCCCTGGCCATCAGGAAGTGGAGGATTTCCAGGAAGTGAAACACCACTATATTAGATGCCAAAACATTTTTGCCCCAGAAGTGGATGGCAGAGGCCAGAAATCACATTCCCACCTGATAGTGGCACAGGATTGAAAGCTGAGCTGAGTTATATGTATCATCGTTGTGGAGTATGGGCTGAATAGTCCCCTCTCGTGCCATGAGATTGGCGAAGTGGTTCATTTAGAGCAGCAAGCTGTGTTTTGGAAATCAAATAAACAGTCTGCAGATTAGCGCATTAGCACTGCAACAGTCCCATATGGTCTGAAGTGGTAAAATATGTGTTACGGGTAAAGGCTTAAAAAAATCCTCATTGATACACCCAATACAAGCTTGTTCTATCCAAAATGAGAGAGCACACTTCCAATATGCATGAATTACTTAATTCACACAGTATGTTTAGGAAACATTACAAGGTGGAGATTGTTCAACTTTAAATGATTTTGTTTGGAAATAACTACATTTTTCACCCCAAAATTCATAATGATAACATCCAAATAAATGCAATAGAACAATTACGCAATAATAATTGCATACGAACTAGACTGTTGGCTCTCACAAGCTTTGTTGTGTGCTACATGGAAAGATGGCCACTATTAATGGCCCTCTCAATTATAACCACACAAATAAGATGGTTACATAATGGTTTTCACACAGGACTAATACTGAAAGGCTAGTGAGCCAAGGGTAATTTGATTGGTAGTCCAGCCGAAAGTACTCACAGGATTTAGCAGAAGATCTGAATTTACCTGATCTCAGAAAGGTTTTTTCACAATACATTGCATCCAAGACACCTCATGACATGCTGCATACATGTGACAGAGTAAACACTGTGTGCTACCTTTAAAAAGGCTCTGTTTTATTAGATTACAGCAGACATCAACTGGTTTTTGAAAAGAGTAAGCAGGACCTTGGCATAAGTACAGTATTTCTTGATACAGTATATGTCTTGACCATGACACTACGGCGGAAGCAGTACATAAAGAGCTTGTATTGGTTTGTTTCTACTGTTGGAATGGAACTAGTACTACTTCAATTAAGCCAACATGTATGTATAAACGCTAATACAGATGTGTATGTTCATTTGCAGGACAACAAATAAATCAAATAGAGAAAGAGATTAGAATATGATGCAGGCAGCATGATTCTGGATTTGTTTCAATGTGATTATTTCCTTCTGGTTTTTCCACAGACAGTTATTTTTCTCTAACATAGGTACACAACATCACTTGGTCAAACAAGCATGTTCCTTACGAGAGTGCAGGTTGGCTTTGAGACCAGGGAGTACAAAAGCACTTCAAAACAGTAAATTGTTTGATTTGATGTGAAGTAAGTCCACCTGACAGGAGGGAACTACAACAGAAGTTCAGCATTAGAAAACTGACTGAAGTATTGCCAACGGTTGTAGTGGTTCATTGTGTTTCATTACAAAATGTAGGACAGACCACTAAGACCAGCTGGAGCGAAAAAAAAAGGGGCGAGTTGCTCCCATTATAAAATGTAACAAAATTCCCCCAAAATGTTACAAATCTGTAGCAATACAGAAAAAATATATTTACAAGAACCCTTTTTTTAAAGGTGTAATAATGCAGCAAATCCAGCTTTGGCACACTACGATCACCACCTGGTCAGTGCTTCAGGCACACATTCAGTTCACTGTGCCTTCTACTTCATCCTAAGTCACACACAACATTACCACGTTTTTAAAAACGTTCTACGAAGTTAGCTCAACCTTAAGGAAATGTTGGGCACAAATTGGGATGGAACAAGCAAGAAATTATTTGTTCATAAAATACAATATTCAATAATTAAACTCTTTCCTTTTCTTCTCAGCCCGTGTGTGCAACTGACAGTGCCAACTTTTCTCACCTGTAAGGAAGAAAAATGGTCCAGTCATCACATTTTAAAACAGTTGGAATAACACTTTCACAAGAGCCCTGATAATTCCCAAAAGGGATTAAAAAGCTATTCTACTGCCAACAGTCAGGGCTCTCAACGCCTTAGACCCATTGGTAACTAGGACACGTTGTGAAATGTAGCTACTATGGTAAAAAACATGCCCTATTCTATCAAACCTGTGACTACTTCCAGACATCTAGAAGTAAGAGACTAATTTCTATATTTTGGGAATGTTATTGAATCAAGTTTGATACACTTTCTTACCCTTTATCCAGTCACCCTTCCAGAAGCATCCTCCATCACCCGGTCTTTGTCCAAGACCAGATCCTTAGCACCCATGAGTGCATCCATCCCCTTGGTTTCCTCCATCCAGCTCCCAAACCCCTCTCGAAAGCCTCCATTTTGGCCACAATTCCAGCTGGTATCAGATGTGTTTTGTCTCAATTTGCTGGCAAACCATTCCTTGATCTCATGGCTGCTAAGACTGGCATGCTCTGTTAGCCTCCCAATATCCTCCACCTTGGGTGCCTTTATTTCCTGGTAGCGCTGGATTATGCTGAAAGCATTCTCTGTGCTCAGTAGCGCCCCCTTGCCATTTTGCCCACTGCTGTTCAATTTATGGAAAAGCTCCATCCACTCCAAGGTCCCACTCTTCAGGGCTGACCTGCTGTCCTTGAACCAGCGGACGATTTCTGTGCGAGCCAGGCCTGTCTGGTCCTCAAGTTGATTGTATTCTTCAGGTGAAGGCCACCGAGTTTGTGCAAAAACATCCTTGAGAAGCCCCAAGGATTTGCTGTCTAGAGGCACTGAGCAAGTGGTGGTTGGGGCAATGACGGCAAGGGGAGAGCTTCTTGGATGGTCACCTTGTTTGCACACACCATTCAGCGGTCCGTGTTGTTGCTGCCGCTTATCAATGTACAGTCTCTTTGAGCCCATGGAGTTTAGAAGGGCTTGTTCAAGGTTGTCACGCAGCGCCCGGCGCTCTAAAAACCAGCTGTCAATTTCCTCCCGTGACAGTAGGGTTGCAGTCACTAGATTATCAACATCATTGTATGTTGGAAAGCTGTTTCTCTGGAAGTTCTCTTCTAAAATCTTCAGCTGCTCAGAGGTCTTCCCTTTCATTCTCTCCAAGAGTGGAAATTGAGTGGGGACTGATTTTTGCTGCTCTGGTATCGATGCTAGCTCATTGTCCAACTGTAGAATGCCGTTGTGTGCATGAGGCCCTTGGTCATGAACCCACTTTTCATCTCCACGAGAGACACCATTGGCTTCCCCAAGAGGGGTGAGCACTTTGTCCTCTGAAAGACGTCCTCTGATATATCCGGCCTTCAGCTCTGTTATTTGCGCTTTTGTTTTCTTGCCATCTGGGGAAAAGCTAGGGAGCTGGAACGGGCCCTTGAGGGAAGTCCGCGCTGACTGGATTATTGTTGGCCTCCTCACTTGAGGGGCAATGAGAGGGGGTGAGAATGGTAACTTTAAGTCTAAAGCCAATAGAGAGTGGGTGATTGGAAGCTTGTCTTTGGAGACTAATGAAGGAGGAGGCAGCATGTAACTCTTGAATTGAGGGGCGACAATAGGGGACACAATAGATCTCTTCAACTCGGGGAAGACTGGAGAAGGTGCCATTGGCAGCTTGTTTTTGGGGTTCACTTGTGGAGTTGCCATGGGCAGTTTTCTTTTAGATGCCATGAGAGGTGCTGCCGAGGACCTCTTCATCTCGGAGGCGATAATAGGAAGTGCTACAGATCTCTTCAGTTCAGGGGGAACTGGGGGTGGGGCCATGGGAAGTTTCTCTTTTCGGGGAACTGGAGGAGGGGCCATTAGTATCTTCTCTTTTGGGTCTTCTGCAGGGGCTGCTGTGGGGCGCTTTAATTCTGGGGAGAATGAAGGAGTTGTCAGGGGTCGCTTGAGAGGATGCACATAACTGGCTACAGTCACTGTAGGAGCACAGGTTGATCCGTTAGAAATACTTGTCAGTACTAGATTAGACTGCCCAAAGCTAGTCTGAATGAGTGGCTGGGTGGCTTTGGCAGGCTGAGAGATTGGAGTAGGCAGAACGGTGAAGGTCTGATGCATGGGTGGGATGGAGCCATTGAACATTTTCTTCCTGGCTTCCTCAACTTCCTCTGGTGACCAGGTGATGCCTTGCTTTAGCCGTTGGGTAGTGAACCACACCTTTATTTGCTCTTCTGGGTGCTTGGAAGCAGCAGTGAGCCAGGACAGCTCAGCATGGGTTGGGTAAGGGAATTTATTAAAAGATGTCATTAGGGTTGTGTTATTGTCCAGTGAAGGATTATATTTGGTGGAGTTCAGAGGAACAGCAATTGTTAGTACAGAACTGATGTTGGGTGGTCGTTGGAGCAATGGCATTACATATGAGAGCCCTTGAATGATTGTTGGTTCAGGGATGATCATTGTGCCGTTTATGTTCACAGCTGTGATTTGATCTTTTGGGATAAGGTTTTCCAACTGGTTCTCCAAATAATTCCCTTGGTAGAGGGACTGTATGTTGTCCATTTTTGGCATTCCAATCTTCACCGTAGTTTGTTTGCTCGGTGGAAAGGTGACAAAGCTGTTACTACCTTGTCCGTCTGCAGTATCGCAGACAAATGAATTGGTCTTGGCTTCGATTGTCTGCTCCAAGATAGTCTGGTTATTTACTTTTACCCTCTTGAACTTGAAGTTGGTCTCTCCAGGGTGTTGGGTCTCATTGTGGTCTGTAAGAGAGTCAAACTTGTTGGTGCTGAAGTTGCACACGGCACACAGGTAGAGGGGGTTGAGTATGACATTGGGGTGACTAGAGTCTACATGCTCTTTAAAGCCATTCAGGTTTTGGGTGGAGAAGGTACAGTATTTGCACTCATAACCTCTATGCTGCCTCTGCCGGGGCACAGGATCAGCTTCTGCCACAACTTTTGCTTCAATAGCACTTCCTAGATCTTCTATAGTGTCTTGTAATGTCTGGTCTTGATTTTCAACAGACTCTGAAGACCCATTTTTGGTCACATTGTCAGTGGACACTTCCATTTCTTCCGAGTCATCCTGCTCCATCATCTCACTTACCCGGATCATGCAGGGGGTGGAGGACTTCCTGCGTCTGGACATTGCTGGTGACTGATGTGGGATGTTATTTGGGTCAAGGGGAGGGTAAGTCTCCAGTGTTTGAGGAAGACCCTGCTCCTCTACTGTCCTGGGTTTGCCGTGGTGTCTCCTGCTGACTGTGGATGTCAGCTCCCGTGTGCGGCTTCATTAGAGTTCATCACAGATGGCATTCACCTGGAATAAAAGTGGAAAAAAGGAAATGTTAAAGGGGCAATCTGCAGTTGAAAAAATGCTGACATCAAAATGATAGTTCTAGACATGTTTTGAGGCTATACAGTGTTTGTTTACAATTACTTTGTTTACAAACATTTGAGTGACCAAGCTTCTATTTTGGGTTCTGATGGGGTACGACAGTTAAACTAAGTTCATGAGGCATTTATAAGTTATATTCTTCAAGAATCAATGGGTACATATCATTAATTTATGACCAAAAATGTAGGTAGCAACTGCAGATTGGCCCTTTAACTGACATCACCTTCTAACCTCACTCTTGTAAAACTACATCTGTCCCACCTAATCTGGAAATACAGTAGGTCTATAATTCAATATCTACAGAGAGTGGGCCTAAACTGCAGTGTTGAAGTGTGAATTTCATACAAAGTTTAACTTCAAAGAATATCCTTGTCATTTTATGATAAACTATCCTGACATTCACACAAAATCAAACGTTTTTCAGTGGCGAAACAGAGTCATATTCAGGCATTCTGAAGTGTAACATGTAGGACAATGTGAGCACAAAGCAGAAGATAACTAGGCCAGGGCCTGTGTGTGTGAGACTGTTGTGATAGGGGGAAGAAGGAAGGGAGAGAGATAAAATCTAAGACACATAACCTATTTATCTAATAATGACAGTATCAAACCTTAGTGTATTAGCCATTTTAAGTAATTGAACAAAACTATCACTTTTAGCTTGATCATTTTAATTCAACTTGTAGGCTACATGCAATGGTTCTACCCAAGCTAGGCTACAGTAACTAAATTATTACATTAAATTAGGTCTATAGTACAAGTACATTTTACTACCAACAAACTGAATGAATTGCCCCTAGCAAAACCGTGAACATTTTGTTGTTCAGGTTAATAGACAAGTGTCATTATGATGCGACGTCAGCATGCTTTTATCAATTGCATACCCAAGTCCGTCTGACAAACTTTACATCTAGTTTAAAATACTCGGAACTTAAGTGACCCCTAGAACTTTCAATATAGCATGACTATGCTCTGTAGGAAAACAACCATGTTAAATATTCATTAGCACCATGAGACGCGTGTCTAAAAAGCATTCACTAATCAATCATTAATTATCCACACAGGGCCTGAAACAGTAAATAGGCTACATAGTGTCAATGTGGCTAAAGGCGCATGACATCAAGAAAAGGACCGTATGACTTCCTTCCTGAAGTTTGCATCCAGTATTGACTATTCATGTGACGCAGCAAAACACAGCATGTTTTTAAGGCGAAACTGACAGCTCTAGGCCAATATTCTGTAATCAAAGTAATATTATTAATTTTAAAAATTTTGGCAACAGTGTCCTCAGCTCTATGTCTGTCAACATGCTGGGCTGCAGGGATCATGTTTACTTGCAGCTTAAGAATGCAACATGCCATGCATCTCGTCACTTCTACCTGAACAACCCAGTCTATGGCATGACCACAAAAGATTATCCTTAAAATATGGAAGATTGTTCAAACACACTTGCCTCAAACATTATCCAGGCTCATCAAGGCACACCAAATTCTATTCCAACTTTAATTTTTCATGCCCATATTGCCCAGAACTGAATAATAAACTCAAAAGATTAATAAATAATTATTTTATCAGTATTTTATGGGCACGTCCTCCCTCCTAAATGAAATAGATTCAGTGGCTCCTTATAAAATAAAACATACAAAATTAAGACTGCCTTAATTTCCATGGTGTCACTATGGCAACAGCAGAGACAGCGAGGTGCCCTTCTGCTACCTCACCGCTGCATATTAACGATTTCCTCTCACAGGTGCTAATTAGGCGAGGAGGGCTTGCTGTCGAGCAGAGCTTGGGTCAGCCGCAGTGAACAGCATGTGGCGAAGGGTCCTCTGCGAACCCCGTCGGGACGATCCGTTCCGGCTGATCCGTGACGCTTGTCTGGGCAGGCCTTTGCACACGCCACGGAGGCGGCAGGACTGGGCTGATCAAACATGCATGAGCCTGTCTGTCTCGTGTCCTCGGGTAACTCAAAGCACCAGTCAGCCAAGGGGGACATAAGCCGGCCTCCAGACAGCTTGGGATATGACTTAAACCTCATCTGTGCATACTGGCAGATTAACTCACTTCATATATGGTGGCAACACTGACTGCTTAAAATCAGGGCAATTCCCTCTAAAGAAGACTGACAGTGACATATGCCAGGGTTGTTCAGGGATCTATACAGTGCAAAAAACTAGTGCTGAAGATTTCTAAATGGTGCGTTGAACTCCTCCGGTGCCAGTTGAGAGAACAAACGCAATGAATCATCATGGATGATCAATGTCCTGTACAGCCAGAGCAGACTGGGTAAACCCCTGAGGCAGCCTTTACTGAGTCACATACACACAGCCCTGCCCCGCGGTCAGCGCTCTCCATCACAACAGAGAAAGAGAGAGAAAAAGACAGAGCGAGAGAGAAAAAGTAAGAGGGGAGAAGAGGGGACAGAGAAAAAAAAGAAGAAAAAAAGTGACTGAGCATGTTATGTAGGGCTCAAACCAATTTTTACAAGTGGATAACGGTATTTGTGATCAACTGTAGGCTAATTAGTAACACAAAGGAACTTCATAGTTACTATAAAACTATGATTATATCCTCAGAATATAAACCCCAGTAAGGATAAGGATTCATGTAGGATTTAGGCTACACCTCCTAAAGACAATGAGGAATCATTTGTCCTCTCAAATTAAAATATGTTTTCATTTGTTGTCCTCGAATACGCCGAAAGCCGAGTTCATTCAGCATCATGCAATCCAAACAAGCAGTTCTAGAAAGGATCACGTTGTTTTCTTTTCCCCCTGTAGAGTCATTTCCATATCAAAAAGGCAGTGACTGACATTCAATATCAAATAGTCCTCAAATAGTGCACTGCACTGAGGAAACTTTGCATGGGTCTGATTTCAAAAGCATGTTAAATCCAAGCTCATCGGCTAAATCTTGCTCTATTTTGTTAAGAACTGCTTCGCCAGTGAGAGGAGACTAAACCCAAATAATAGAGCCGCTCATGTCAATGAGACAGGCGAATTTGAATGAGCACAGAATTAATTTAAATCTCATCAGGATGCCCTTTAATACCTTATCAGTTCTGCATGGAGACAACGGACTAACATCTCATTCCAGAATCATGGGCATTAATATGGAGTTGGTCCCCCCTTCGCTGCTATAAAACAGCCTCCACTTCTGGGAAGACTTTCCAATAGATGTTGGAACATTGCTGCGGGGACTTGCTTCCATTCAGCCACAAGAGCATTAGCATGTTGGGCGATTAGGCCTGACTCGCAGTCGGCATTCCAATTCATCCCAAAAGGTGTTCGATGGGGTTGAAGTCAGGGCTCTGTGCAGGCCAGTCAAGTTCTTCCACACCAATCTCGACAAACCATTTCTGTATGGACCTCGCTTTGAGCACGGGTCATTGTCATGCTGAAACAGGAAAGGGCCTTCCACAAACTGTCGCCACAAAGTTGGAAGCACAGAATCGTCTAGAATGTCATTGTATGCTGTAGCGTTAAGATTTCCCTTCACTGGAACTAAGGGGCCTAGCCCAAACCATGAAGAACAGCCCCAGACCATTATTCCTCCTCCACCAAACTTTACAGTTGGTACTATGCATTGGGGCAGGTAGCGTTCTCCTGGAATCTGCCAAACTCAGATTTGTCCTTCGGATTGCCAGATGGTGAAGCGTGATTCATCTCCAGAGAACGCAATTCCACTGCTCCAGAGTCCAATTGCGGCAAGCTTTACACCACTCCAGACGATGCTTGGCATTGCGCATGGTGAGCTTAAGCTTGTGTGTGGATGCTTGGCTATGGCAACCCATTTCATGAAGCTCCTGACAAACAGTTATTGTTGCTTCCAAAGGCAGTTTGGAACTTGGTAGTGAGTGCTGCAACAGAGGACAAATTATTTGTACACGCTACGCGGTTCAGCACTCGATGGTCCCATTCCTTGAGCTTGTGTGGCCTACCACTTCGCCGCTGAAATGTTGTTTCCACTTCACAATAACAGCACTTACAGATGACCCTGGGCAGATCTAGCAGGGCAGAAATTTGACGAACTGACTTGTTGGAAAGGTGGCATCCTATGATGGTGCAACGTTGAAAGTCACTGAGCTCTTCAGTAAGGCCATTCTACTGCCAATGTTTGTCTATGGAGATTGCATGGCTGTCTTCTCAATTTTACACACCTGTCAGCAATGTGTGTGGCTGAAATAGCAGAATCCACTAATTTGAAGGGGTGTCCACATACCTTTGTATATATAGTGAATACAGATTCTTACAAACCCAAGTCAATAAATACAACTAAAAACATACACACACACAACAAATTATACAAAACAAATGCAGTCATACAATGTAAACCACACAAATAGTGTAGGCTATTCCATACTATTATATAGGGATGTAATAAAAATAAAAATAAATTATCCCATAACATAGCTATATAAATGGTAGGGAAAAGTCTGTAGCAGCATCAGTGTGCAAGGGTTCATTCCAAACAACTCTTACGATTTTCAAATCGTTATGCTTAGATTGATGCCCCTGAAACTTTGATGGCAGATTTGGGTCCAGGCTACTGTGGTGAATTCTCCTCAGACGGCCTCCTAAGACGACTGGCGTGTTGCTATGGAAACCGCCAAACCGGAGATAAGACCAAGACCTTTTGATGGCAATTGTTTCGTTACGATTAAATTCAGCGATGCGAGGGGCTTCTTTTTCAAACTGTTGAAGGACATCATTTATAATTTTGGTTCGGAGTATAATTGGCCAATTTTTTGGCCAACAATTTCATGACTAATATTCCTATTGCTTCTTGTCCTTTGTCGTGATTCTTCACATTTATTCTCCTGCGAATATGTCTCAAACTGATGTTTCACTGTCTTAGTTCATAAAAACATCTCTAAACTTAGTCTTTGAAATGAAAAGTACAAACAAAACCACTGAGACAAACAC